CTAATCTCGACCATGTTAGCATGAGTCTATACAAAGCCATCAATATTCCTTCTAAGCAAGCTCGTTAATCAGTAGCGAGCTTAGGGCTGAGATTACTTTCGATTCTCAATACACGAGTCAGCTCACTCTGGTCGATTGATACCTCAGTTAAAGTCTCAATAAGCCCATTATGGGAATACTCCTTCTGAACATAGGGATCTATGTTATCTTCCATTAGACCTGGCTGTGGTTCGATCCTGTTGATCACCACAGCCTGCTCAGGAACGCCCACTGGCTTTCCTTTCCCTTTGCATGTCATATGCACTACTCTTATATAGTAGTCGCGAGATTCACGCTAAGACCTTTTGACGTTCCCACACCTCGTCAGAGTGGAAAATTTCATCTTTAGATGATAAATGGAAGTGACAGCTTTGAAATTTCGCAATAGGGGTCATCCAATATACCATTGAAAGTGGACGAACAGTCTACCACCAAAACTCTATCATCTTAGTCACTTCATGGGTCTCACCCAAAGTAACAGGAAGTGCAATCGTTCCTTTGGGAATTAGATGATCCCTAGTGAAACCATAGAAGGGGTAGAGGCAGACTTCAGATCTGCCTCGTCTAATTGTATTTCCTCGAATGCTCGCTGAAATAGGACATTTACGGCGCTCCCATTATCCACCAACATCCTGTAGACTTTGCACCGACCTATTTCAGTCACGCTAACGACTACATCCTCATGAGGGTGATGTAATCATACCACATCTTTTTCTAAGAAGGTAATCTCCTCCTTCCTGCATACCTTAATAGGTCGCGACGTCGTGCTCATCACACTCACAGGGTCGTGGCGAGCTTCTCGGGCATACTTCTCCTGAGCACTCTGAGAATTTTTCACGAGTTGTAGTCCTCCAAATATAGTTCCGACAAGATGGAGGCCCTTGTGACCACAACGCTTCTTCCCCTAGTCCCCTTGATCCTTCTCCGAAATGGGAGTTGGAGCATCAACATACTTCTTGAAGTGTCCCTTTTTAATGAGGTCTTCAATTGCCTGCTTAAGAGCTCGACATTCATTAGTATAGTGCCTATTATCCCAATGATAACGGCAATATTTCCTTGTGTTTCTTGTTGAAGGGGGATTATTTATGGGCACTGGCTTTTCGAGTAGATTAGCTTCTTCTGATTTATCCAGAATAGCTGATACTGATGCATTCAACGAAATATATTGATCCTTGTCGCGCTCGCGATGAGGGACCTGGGCATAAGACTTTTGGGCTCAAATCGCTGCTTCTTTTCCTTTCTATGATCATCATGAGCCCATTTGCGATCAGGTTTTCCACTACCCTCTCCCCGGTTTTCCTCCCTCCAACTGGGAGCACTAGTCGAAGGACCAAGTTCATGGAGATTCAAGGTAGCCACTGAATTTTCAATTCTGAGATATTTCTCAATGAGGTTGTAGAAGCAAGTGAGGGAAATATCATCCTCAGACTGCAACTTCTTCCACAGGTCAGTTTACAGGCGAACTCCCGCAATAATAAGAGTTCGAACTGACTCTTCGAGTGTATTAGTCATCTTATTCAGCTCCCTGTGGAACCTGTCAATATAGGACTGGAAGGACTCATTCTTCTATTGTCGTATGCTGCTTAGATAGCTCAACGACATTGAGAACTTCCTATTAGCCTGGAAGTGTCTCAGAAATAACGAACTCATCTACTGCCACGAGTTAATAGATCTTGGTGGAAGCAATCTAAACCAGTGCTTGGTGTGGGTAGTCAGAGTCATTACTAAGCAACGACATTTTGGAAACTTGGTAAAGCTCCATGAGGTCATTAAACTCATAGAGATGATCCTGCGGATCAAAATTCCCATCGAATGCTCGTATATCGGGCATTCTAAACCTGGACGGGAGAGGAGCAATCAACATTGCTAGAGAAAATGGAGATGCCTCAGCGACCTGCCCTCGCTTATTATGTTAAGCTCTAATCTAATCCAGAGCTTGTTGTAATTCCTCAATTTGAGGAAGCGAAGCTACCTAGGGATCACTTTTCGCAAAGTGGGTTCGCCCCGCACGATTGCAATTGAGGAAAGACCGCAGATCGGACTCTTCCCCGTCTTAGTCAGAGCCTTCGGCATACCTTGGCACACACTGGTTGGAGCCATGTGAAGGCATTGAATGGCTAGGGGAGTTATCCCAACCTTCACGGTTTCCCTCGCGGTGATGTTCAGAATCATTATTCCAACGATAATGGGAGTCTCCTTGCCTTGCACTCTTGTAGGGGTGCCCATGCGATGTGGCGTGGGATGGCTCATGATACGACATACCACCAGGTCACAAAGCCATAGGTATTATACTTGCTTCGCGACCAGTATTCACCAGTCCTTTCAAGCCCTTTGGCCTACTATCTGCCACCTGTTTTCCCTTGTCTTTATGCGTCATAGTGCACGCGACATAGGCTTTCGCCCGTTTCCACGCTTTTGCGCGACGTACAAGCATCTTTGGCAGCGGCACTATCCTATTGGAATTGGGCTGTATAACCTGATCCAAACGATCTATATATCCTTCAGCTAACCGTTTGGAGAGTATTGTTGAACCTCTTTAGGTAATTCATCACAGCTGGGTCGAGCTAAGAGGTCGAGGGGATATCCACCGCAGTATTCTGCGGAATTGGAGGTACTTTGGGAGAAGTAACATCTTGTACCCGGGGGATCTCCTCGCTGTTGATGCTAGTTCGCTCGGTTTCAAGACCACGAGCCATTTGTTCGTGAGTAAAGCTGATTGATCACAGATTCTTGATGAAGAGCGGATACTAAATCAGTTCCTCCTTCTAACGCCAAACTGTTGATGTTTGATTTTAACACCAATGGCTCGCATGTGCAAAGTGCTAAGCTGTTCTTAGAAATTCACGTGAATGATTGGGATAACAAATGCAAAGACTAAATAATAAATGAGAGATGGGTTTTTAAGTTGTTCAAATGCTTAAAGCAAATCCTATGTCCAATGTTTCTTTTTATATATGAGAGATTACAAGAGGTCACGTATAGCAAACAGGGAGCAGAGGTACAATAACTTAGTATTCAGAGAGTATCAAGTTAGTCTCTTTCTCATAGATTGTCTTTGATCTGAAAATAAAGATTACAATCAAAATGAGGCTTCAAGATCAAAATCCCAAAAATGAGAGGGGGAGTCCTCTATTTATAGTAAAGGAATTCAAGGTAATTATTACAAATCTGCAAGTGAGTAGATACCGTGTGAGTCCTTCCTTGCCTTCAATTGGTTGATAACTTAGGAAATATCCTCAAATTGCCTAGGGCTTGGACAAGTGTACGGTCCTCTATCACTCATAGACAAAACCTGAATCTGCCAAGTTGATGACAGTCATATTCTTCCTGTCATGGAGCGACATGGCAGCTCCTGAACGGCACAAAACCTTCCTGAATTCTGATTGATGCTTGCTGGCGTAGGCTAACGTCAGTCCTAATTTTTGAAGCATAACAACATATATATTTAATATTATAGAGGAAGCAAATCGAGGCAAAAGGGTGTTGGTGAAAATCAAACACAGCAATAAGAAAAAAGAGAGAAGATATTGGTTGGAGAAACCACCAGAAACCGCCAAATCGACAGAAAACTGCAAAACTTAATTTCAGCCCTTCAATAATGTATAGAATAGAGTGAGCAAAACATGGCTAACCTGACAACTCCACAACACCATATATAAAACCAAAGCTGATTTGAGAAACATTCAAACCATAAATTTCAGTGAAAAGTGAACTGAATTCAAAGAGGATATGGATGCATATACTGAGTTACTGCATCTCATCTTCTTCTGTTCTCTATAGGGGGTTTGTATAAGACATATTGTCGTGGGCAGCTTCTGCTCATGGGGTCCAAAACATTTCTTTTGTTTTTATGCCTGCGTACGTGTTGCTTTGGAACTCTGAATGCTTTTATTTTGCAAATTCATAATGAATTTACTTCCTCGCCCATGTGCTTAGCATTTTAGCTACAAATCATTGTTACGAATAAAAAATCTCAAGAATTCTACAAACGATATCACCGCCATTAGTATATTAGATAACAATGAAACCCAAGACTTCAAGTAAAATCTAAATGCACAATGTCAAGAAAATCCGTGAATATATGGTGGTGTTATCCTGGCATACACTACAATATTAGGTGTGCTTGACAATTTGGTTCAAAAAATTCTGAAATTGCAATCTCAATATGATGGATGTTTCAAAATTCAAATTCATCCATCCTCTTCTTAGGTTTTTTAAAGTTTGGGTGACACGGTGTGTGGTGTGGTAAAGGGACTGGAGCAAACAACTCTGTTGGTAAGATTACATGGCTGTATGATTTGTAGTACTTGTATTTGGGGCCATGCCACCCACAGGCCACAGGCCACAGCCCTCACTTTAATCCTGTTTTACATTGGGCCTCTGATTTTTGAAACGCTTAAGTAAACCAGTGATCCACATACGATTTCCAGTCATCCACATACGTGTTCCGACTGGAAATTCATAGCGGCAACTCAAATCAAAGGATTTATAGTACAGATTATGTGTTGCGAGTTGTAATACATTGGTGCAGGAAATTCAAAGATAAGCCTGGTTACTGTGACCCTTATGCCGACCGGAAATTTTAGTTAAAACTTATACTTTTTTTTGTTTGCTTATAAAATAATAAAATATAGATTGTACTATGCATTATGTACTTAGTTGTTACCCATCCGTGGGTAGTCCAGATGGTTAGGGCAAATCGGAAATAGTGTAATAAAAACAAAGTTTAAGGTTCGATTTCCCATTTGAACATCTGCAATTTAAGTGGGAGGCTGTGACGATAGATTGATATACTAGTCTCTCCAAAGGATTAATCAAGATACATATAAACTAACTCGAACACCTTAGTTAAAATAAAAAAAATAAAAAAAATAAAAAAAATAAAAAAAAAACAACGTGTAGGCTGAACTGGACATCTTGGCTAAAAATAAAAGTTCTTGCTTGTTCTAGATTTTGGCCTTCTAGCTGATGTAGCTGATTGACATCTGTTTATATGTAGTTTTGGAGTGCATTTCATTTATCAAACAAATAAATTCATTAAAGGAAATGTTCCCCTCTTTTTGGGATAAGTATATAACCGTCAGATCTCTAAGGTTTCTGTTCTAAATGAAACTATTTTGAATAAGCTCTGTTTTTCTCTCTTAAATATTTCATTTCTGATCCCAGGCTTTCTGCCATTCTACAAATCTCCTCATATCGTGAGTGAGACTTGTCACCTGATGAAAACCCGTGCAAACCATCAATATCACCCACATCCACCCAACTAAATCCCACCTCCTTCTTTACTCCTTTCTCCCTCATCCCTTTCCTTATTTTTGCAACCTTTTCCCAGTCCCCCTTCTCAGCATACAAATTAGACATCAATACATATGAACCTGACCCCATGGGCTCCATTCCCAACAAAACATCTGCCACCCTCTCACCCATCTCTACATTCCCATGTATCCTACAAGCGCCTAGCAGGCTTTGCAACATAGACATCCCCGGCCCTCCAGGACTGCGACCCATCAGCTCCTCTGCCTCCTTGAGTCTCCCAGCACGGCCCAACATATCTACCATACAAGAATAATGTTCTGGGGATGGCTCAATCTCATAATCTTTCACCATTGAGTCAAAGAGCTGAAGGCCAATATCAACCATCCCCTTTCTACCGCTAGCAGTTAGTACAGAAAGGAAGGTGATTGAGTCAGGTCTGACCCCTTCCTTCTCCATCTTCTTAAACCAATTCATCACTGATTCATAGTCTCCATGTCTTGCATAGGCAGAGATTATTGCTGTCCAAGCAAATTGACTCTTTTCAGGTGTCTCACTGAAAACTCTTTGGGACTCATAAATGCTCCCACGCTTTGCATACATGTCAAGAAGAGCACCAGAAACAACTGGATCAGTATTCAACCCAAGCTTTATGATATGAGAGTGGCACCGCTGCCCATGTTTAAGAGATATATCCTCAGCAGAACCAATAGCACTCAAGACACTACCAAATGTGTATTGGTTTGGCTTAGATTCAGAACTTGCCAATAAAAATGTTGACAACGCTGCTTGACACAATCCATTTTGAGCATACCCTGAGATTAAAGCGTTCCACGATATAATTTCTCTATAGTTAAGCTCCTCAAAAACTTTCTTTGAGTCTTGCATGGACTGAAACTTAGCATACATGGTGATGAGGCTATTACAAACATTTGATTCCAACACAAAGCCAGTCTTTATACAAAACCCGTGAATCATTTGCCCTTCTTTAGCCAAATGCCTAACTGTTATGGCATGGAGTAGCCCAACAAATGTAACATCATTCGGATCAACCCCATCTATTCTCATCTCACCAAAGAGAAACACAGCATCTGCATCATTCATTGAAATCATTGTGGTCCAAGAAACTACATTACGTTCATCCATCCAGTCAAATACCAACTTTGCATCTTCAATTGCCTCACATTTTGAGTATGTTGAGATCAAAACATTTCCAACTGAAAGATGTGTTCCATATCCTGTTTTTATAGTCAAACCATGTATCTGTCTCCCCAGCTGTAAGTTTCTTTCATGACCACAAGCTGAAACTGCACTGGTGAATGAGACATGATCAAGCCTTATCCCTTCTCTCACCATATCAATAAATGCCCAAATAGCTTCCAACCCATAGTTCCCTTCCTGGGTGTACCCTGATATCATAGCATTCCACGATACCAAATCCTTATTTGGCATTGCATCAAACACGCTCCTAGCCTCGACTAAATGCCCCCATCTCGAGTACAAGGTTATAAGAGCATTACCTACAAAAGTATCACTGTCTAATCCAAACTTGACTATGAGAGAATGCAATTGCAACCCAAATAAAAAACCCCGCTGGTCCAAACAAACCGCGAGAATAATAGTATAAGTCACTGCATCAAAAACAACCCCATATAAATTCATTCTAAGAGCAAATTGCAATGCATCCTCGTTTTTTGGAAACCCCGAAAGAATAGTATTCCACGAAACAATATCAGGATTACTCAAGTTGTTAAATATACATAAAGCCCTATCAAATTGACCAGATTTACAGTACATATTCATCAATGAATTTGAAACCGTAATATAAGAAATGAACCCAGAAGTAATAGAAAACCCGTGTATTTGGCACCCTGGTTTTTGGTCTCCGCTACAAGCCTTGAGAGCGATTGCAATCGTAACTTCATCAATATCGTAGAGAAAACCTAATTGCAGATGCCTTCTGAAGATTTCGAGAGATTGAGAGGGACTTTTTTTGCGCATAGAATTGAGCATAGAAGAATTAATTGGCAAAACATTTCGAGGGGAGCTTTTGTCGAACACTTGATGTACATGGTTGGATGAGTGGATGTATTTAAAATTTGTCGACCGTTGTTTGGCTAGTCCTTGAAGGGTTTTGGTATTTAGTTGGCGGGTAATCATGAGAGTGTAACAACAGATCGTTTGTGAAAGAGAAACAGCCCAGATTAATACATGGGCTAGTTAAAATCAAATACAAGGGTTTGTGCCACGTAGATTGGGGGGGGTGAAAATCAAATATCACGCGGCGGCTCGTGACTCTGTGCGATACGATAGGAGTGTGTGTGTGTATATATATATATATATATATATATAATCTCTTCTATTTTCTAAATATTGATATTACTGCATTACATTGTGATGTCTTAATTGATTCTTATAATAACTCTATATAAATTTTTAAAAAGCTATAATTATGAAAATTAAATTAGGACAGTTTATCTTTTTTTTTTTTCCAAGTATATTATTACTATTGTCTTCAATAATATTTATTCAATATAATTAAATTTGTGACAAGTGAAAAAGTTTATATATGCAAGGATTTAATTGATTTTTAATAAATATAATTAAAGAAATATCTGGACCACATGTGAATAAAAATAATAAAATGGAAATAAGCTTTTGTGGTGACAAAGAAAAGTGTTTAATATGTCAGGCCAAAATGGTCCCGTACAGCGATTGAGGTTTGAGTCCAAAGGGCTGATATGTACTGGGGACCAGTCTTTGCTAGCTCATCAGGTGTCAAGCACTCTGCACTCATACTCACAAGTCACAATCACATATTCAAGTTTGCATTAAATTCATTAATTAATTAAACAATTTATTTTTTTATAAAAGATTATTTATCTTCTCTTAATTTGTGTTTCCACTTCCATTTAGATTAAGATTATACCTATTCATATATATCAGTGTTTTAAAACCTAACTCAGGGTGAAACCTGACAAAATGGTCGGGTCCCCTCAACCTCTTGATCAAAACATATCTCATCCTTTCCCCGTCCACCTCTCCAATCGTCAACAACAGCAGGCTTTTTATAATGACATAGTTTTGCGATTTTCGATCGATTTACTTACCAAAAATCACTGTTGTTGCCACAATTACATTCACCAACCATTCTTTTTTAAAAACTCTTAACATTCAAATCTTCGATTGTTCACGGATTGATGTCCTAATTTATAGAGTTTTCAATAAATAGAAAATTTTGTAATCCAACCTAGTGAAGGCCTCGGTTGAACCGATCGGGCTAGACCAGGTTTTAAAACATTGATTCACATAACCAAGTGTGAGTTATTATTTCAATTAATCTAAATTAAAAGAAATGCAAACCTACCTTGTTGGTTGGCATTATTGTACAATTATTCAAACTTTGCTTTCCAAATGTTTGATTAAGAATCAAATCTCAACATGAGGCCTTTATCTTTATGCATGCCACCAACAATATTGAGAAGCAAATCACATGAAACAGAAGACGTCTCTTTTAATATATCTAGCATAATTAATTTTACTTTAACGTATATTATATTTGATGTAACTAATCACCATTAAAAAGATTGTTGATATTGTTGTTTATTTGGGGTCACTTTACACTTGTATAATCAAAGAGATTTAGACTCTGAATTTGGAATTTCAAACCAAGCATATTCTTCTTCTTACCTACTCGATTGTCTCTTATTAATTTCAAGATACGATTTGTTTTTAACAACGTTGTTAACAGGATAATTTATATTATAAGTTCCCACGATGATTAAAAAAATAAATATATGATTAATAATTTGATTAGGATGGGTTTATTTTATATATATGTTGCTCCAAATACAATCGACACTGGTTGTATTGATATTTAATCTGTCTATAAAATTGGCAATACATAATTATCTATAATATCTTAGCCAGTAACAGTTAAGTATATCATTCTATATATATTATGGCCATGATATGCGTGCCAGAGAAGTGCCTGGAGAAGAAAATTTTAATTAATTAGTGGCGGTTGGTGGGGTGGCGGTAGGGATGCGCGTTTGCCTCAGCCCCACAAAGATCCTGCCCAACCTGACCGAATGGGGTGGAAAATCCCCGGAAATATCGGGGACAGGGTCGGGGACGGTCCTCAAAAAAATCCCCTCCCCTAAGGACAGGCCGAGGGAGGGGATTGTGCAATCCTTGGCCTGTCAACCGAGCCCCACCTTCTTTTATTGAGAATTTTTTTTTCTTTGTGAGATTATATATAAAGTTAGAGTTTAAATCATAGTTTCAAGTAATGAATCTAAATTTATGATATTTACTTTTATAATACTTTCTAATATTTGTATTAAATTTATAGAAAAAATAATTTAAACAAGAGAGTCTAATAATTAAATATATGTATTATTACTTTGTACATTTCACAAAATAATAATACATGGCCCAAAAATAAATTTGATTAGATTATTACAATTTATCAAACCAGTATAAGAATATACATAATTGCTTAACAACTTACAAATTATATAAATTCAATTATTCTTGTAATTATTTAATGGATCAATTAAATAGGATGTTAAACTTAATCAATGTTGGGAACTTGAGATAATGGGATTTTTCCCTTTCACAAATGGACTAATTTTATTAGTTATAGTGGAAATAATGTTTTATGAATTAATTCATCAATTTACCTAGCAAATTATGTTAAGGTTGAATTTAGTTATATTAATTTTGTGAAAAATTAATTAAAATTATTACATAAATTTGCCAAACCAGTATAAGAATATACACAATTGCTTAACAACTTACAAATTACATAAATTCAATTATTCTTGTAATTATTTAATGGGTCAATTAAATACGATGTTAAACTTAATCAATGTTGGGAACTTGAGATAATGAGATTTTTTCCTTTCACAAATGGACTAATTTTATTAGTTGTAGTGAAAATAATGTTTTATGAATTAATTCATCAATTTACCTAGCAAATTATGTTAAGGTTGAATTTAGTTATATTAATTTTGTGAAAAATTAATTAATTAACAAGACTAACTAAGCCTAAGCTTCTATACAATTGAATAATTAATCAATTTACCCAATAAATTATGTTAAGAGTAGATATAAATATATTTATTTTATAAAAAATTAATTAATTAACAGGGTTAATTAAGCCTAATCGGTTAAGCCTTCATACAATTAAATAAGTAATCAACTTACCTAGTAAATTATGTTAAGATTGAATTTAGTTATATTTATTTTATGAAAAATTAATTAAGTAATAGAGCTAACTGAGCTTAAGCCTTTATACAATTGAATAATTAATCAATTTATCTAATAAATTATGTTAAGATTAGATGTAGATATATTTAATTATGTTCGGGGGGAAATCCCAGTGGGACGAATTTTCCTGCGAAGCCTTGTTCATTAGGCCTAGCCGGGCCGGGGATGAGAGTGATTTTATCCCCACGGGCCGGTGATGGTCATAAGAGTTGTCCCCGCCAGTGGGGACAGGCTGGGGGCGGTCATGGGAGTGGATATCAGGGATGGGGACAGGGAATGGGGTCCCCGGTCCACTCCCATCCCTAGGTGGCAGGAATAGTATAAGCTATGTTAGATTATTATAACCATGGAGATGGAGTGGCAAAGAGAAGTCAATTGTGCTTGTCATGAAGCGCTGAAATTATTGCTGGGAGAAAGTTATGTCTCAGGATCCGTCAAGATTTAAAATTGAAGAAAAGTTGGATGTCCATACTTGAATATTGAAATATAATTGGAACAATGGAAGTGCAGATTTGGTATTGTTGGTCATTAATTGGGATGTTCAAACAAGAAAAATTAATAGTTCCCAACACCAAGAAGTTGGCAAACATAAAATAAAAAGATTATGCGTCCGTTACACTTGGAGCTTGATGTAGTGAGACATATATATATATATATATATATATATATATATAAGTCAGAACTTAAATGAATGAATAAAAACCTGTGCATCTGAATAGTTAGTGGGAGAAGGAAAGTCGAGAAGAAGAGGACCCATATAGGTTTGTCTGGTTATATATACAGTGGACGCTTTTTTACATGTTGCATGTTTGCTCTAATGGCCGGTGGGTTATCACTTAAAGCTGTCTGGTTCTACAATCTTAATTATTTGCAGGTTCAATTGCATTATTTCGCTACACCTATGAAGTGGCACTCGTAAATCACGTGGACATTCTCAATATGGATATACTTCCATCGTTAATGTGTTTTAGTGTGAGCAATAATCGGTGTTTATATTGTCAACTTTCATGACCCCACTCATCAATGGTTGTAGTTAATAGTCAACTCTAATTAGGGTTTTTCAAACTTACTAAGGGACAAGTCTGCCCTACAATAATTAAGCCGCAGAAAATTACTTTACTGCATTAGAAAAAATTAGGAAGTTAATCCTGTAGTTAAACCCAGATAACCAATAAGCTATTTCTTGATGCATGGTCCATAGGTGATGATCACAACGGGGTTGGCGGAAAAACCTTTTATTTAATTTATTTTTCCTTAAGTTGACAGAACTACCAATATGTCTGGTAAAAATCAAAATTATTGATCATGCGTTAGTTTTATGTCACTCCATATTCATCAAAAACTTTTCATTTTTGTGCCCATACACAAAGATAAAGCCTGAAAGACTTAGGTAGTGGGGTAGCAGAAAAGCAAATTCACGGACTAGAACGCTGTGGTTCACAACCTATCTATCCGACCACAATTTAAGATGCGATGACACTGAATCAATATATTGGTGTTGCATGTTCCTGATTCTAAATTTCTTTCTTACCATCCCAAAATCATTATCACCTTTAAATTTTCACTATCGCTTGAAATAAAGAGTTTTAATCAGTGCCAGAACCTTCCATCACAAATGCGATAAACCTAATCTCTACCTTTTATCATAATCAAGCATTGATCTGTCTTTATTTCATAGTGGGGGCTCACTTATGTTCTTCATTGATTAGGCTCCTCGCCTATAAAAGGAGAAGCTCCAAATACGTTAGAGTTGTGAATTGGAGTTTGAAAAAAAAAAAACATCTTCTTAGCCTTGCAGCTTTCATTTTCAGCATTTTGTGCGCTCTTTTCCCTGTTCAAACTTTGAAAATGGTTTGTAATTAATTAGCATACAGTTTCTCGCACTCTTTTGAGACACCACCCTGTACAATGGAAATTGTAATATTTTCTTTTATGT